TATATTGTTTTTTAAAACTTTATGGAATTTCTTATAAAACAAATCTTTAAAATTGGACAATTAGGAGCAAAGATATGGTCTTCAGTTCTTTTTTATATGTTATACTCCTAATGTTATATCGTTTGTTTGGTTTTTAAATTTTGAATGTGTTATTGAAGTAATGGTATTTTTTTTTTTAGCATATTGCTAATGTTTAAAAAAAAGAATGTTTAGTCCAATAATTGGAATCATCTTTTATTTATTTTTCTTTGTCACTAGGAAAGTAATGTTACTTTATATGCATAATCGTTTGGAAATAATAAACCATTGTGAAATAATTTGAAACGTTTTTTACAATGCAATCGAACCAAAACAAGGCGCTTACAAAATAGTCGTCCGAGACCCGCACAACCCAAATGCAGTGATGACACATGTGTCGATTGGTAGGGGCTCTAAAATAATTTTATTTATTTATTTATTGTTACATTCTGCATCTACCCGATCGGGTCATTAGCGGCTTTAGATGTAATCAAATTAGGTGTACAAATTTAATGCCTTTTATAAATTCAAATACTTTTGTATCTTTTCTTCGTCATCTGAAAGTGCTTCAGATATGTTGGAAGGTATATTATGTTTTGTTCTGGTGTCAGAGTATAGTCTGCAAGTTGTTACAATGTGTTTCAGTGTAAGTGATGTGTTGCATGTTTTAGAAAATGGCGGTTCCAGGCCTCTCATTAGGTAGCCATGGGTAAAAATAAAAATCACGTACGCTCTAAAATAAAAATCACGTATAGTTTTAGGAATAGTGGACTTACTATCTTGCCACCCCTCAAACTTGTATTTGTAATAATGAGATTACTCATTTGCGAACTGGATGTAGGTGGTAACAAGGCTCTAAGAGATGTGAAAATAGCACGTGACTTTTTTCGTGAAGCGCACTGTTTCGTTTAAATAAATAATGTGAAATATAGAGTTATATTGCTTGTGATTTTCTGAAAATAGTACATCACGTATAAAAACTACTTATATGGCGTTTCGAATCAATTACATGATCATCTTCACCCATGTCCTCTATAACTTCATCTTGATATTCTCAGACTTGTCGCAGGTATTAACTCCACCACTGTGTTGGTTTAGCTCAAGGGTCTCTTAACTGTTTGGCTTGCAGGCCACCTTAAGACCTCCACTAAATCTCCCGAGTCATGACTTGTGATGACATAAATATCGGTATATCGAACACTGAAAGCCGAACATCTAAGTTACTGATAAATCGGCATCAAAAAATATATATTTTCCTTATTTATTTGCAGTTACAGTAATTTAGGAATTTTTTATATTTGATTGTTAAAAATTGAAAAATCAATATATGTTTTGGTTAATCCATAAAAAATAATGTTTTATTTTTAAAAAATCCAATAAATTTCATATTATACCATTATTTTTATTTAAAAGTTCTTTAAAAGCCATTTTTTAAATTTTATTTTAAAAACTAAATTTCAACCAATTATTTACAAAATCAAGCTTCTTTTTACTTTCTGCTGTTTAATCTATATATAAATTAGCGTTGATTGATTAGTTTTAATAGATTTGTCGATCCTTTTAAATAGAATACTCCAAAGTCGCATTCCAAAACAGTTTTTAGAAATAATATATTTTCTTGCAATAGTTCGTAAATCTGTGACCGCTTGAAAAAGGTTAAAAGAAAAAAGAAATTGATTAAAAAAGATGGATAGTATGAAAAAAATAGGTCCAGTAGTTTCGGAGAAAATTCGCGTACGGCGTACGGCGGACGGACAAAAAAATTTTTATTCGTCTTTTGGATTCTACGCATCCTGAAACGTGAAATCTCAAATTTTGAGAGGTGGTTAAGTTTTTGAATTTTTGGTCGATCACAATTTTTGATTACTAAAAATAATAAACCAAAAAATATTGTTAGGGAAATTGACATCTTCAAATATTTAACCTTGGTGTAGTAGTGGGTGGCTGTTACTAAACTTTTGCTCCTGGCAAGTAAATTTCGTCCCATGTATAAGTGCAAGTTAATATTCCAAAGAGTCTAAAATTTCGTTTAGAGGGAGGAAGACATACGCCGACTACATCTAGTTTAAATATTCTAAGATAACAATTTCCCTAATAATCCATCAAGATCCATTAGTAGATATAGAAGTAGGTTCCCATAGGATGAACAGGATCTACGGATTTCTGTAGTGTGGTATTTTTTTCAGTTCAATATTTTTTGTATAAGTAATGCTAACGTGAAAGTTTTAGAACAGTTATGCTCAAAGCTTTCACTATAACTATTTAATACATAACTATAATAAGCTTTAAATGTAACTATTTAACTACTACCAGTCGTATTTAAAATGTGTGATTTAAGTGTCTTTTCTAAATGCGTTGGCAATGTTCCTGATAATCTGTCTTAGTGTTTTAGTTTATAAAATAATATTTTTCAGTGTGTTTGTTTTTAGTATGCACCTTCATATAGGAAACTTTAACATCCTCGAGGCTAGGCGACGTCGGTTCGAATCCTGCCTAAGCGGGATAAAATTGATTTAAAGGCAGAAACCATTTATTTCATTGTACTCCTGGAACAACTGGAGCCAGGGACCAAAAATCGACCTGATTGCAGGCGAAGGTTTGATTGTAAATTATGAAAGTGTATGTTACACTGAGTAAAAAAACTTGTCTGCCGTTCCTGACCCGTTGCTTTAAAAATTGGCGGCTGATTTAAAGAATATTATGCCATTAATTTGAGGACCAAAACGAGAAATCCATTGCGAAAACTGTGAGAAAAGTTTTTATATTTTTAACTTGTATATACGGGTTTAAACATGTAAAAAACAAAAATGCTAACACAGGTCACCAAGGGAAAACTTTTTACTGTCAAAAAAGTCAGATTTTTTCGATATTTTTTGGATTTTCCCCCTATAACTCCTAAACGATGCATTAAAGCAAAAAGTGTATTCTTTAACAAATTGAAGAGCGTTAAATTTTGCGTCAAACGAGTACATTAAAATTAACAGGATACGACAGAAACTATAGTTTTGGATTTCCCGAGAATCCTGCATTACCACCTATAATAATTTTAAATATGAATTTTAAAGACAAAAAGGAAAGGGAAGAAGGAAAAGAAAATCATAACAATCATTATTTAGGGTGATAGTTCCGTAAAACATCCTTTATGTGTTGTTTTCTATAATGTTGTCACATAAATCCTTAGGGCAGCCCTTATCGTTACAGCTGAAGTCAGTAGTTCAGAACTTGTATAGATGTCAGCCCTTCGAAGCAGATGACAGCAGTTAGATAAGTTAACCAGACAGACTCAGCGACATACCAACAGACGTGACTCTCATTGTAAACATATTAGAGCCTCTAATTATTAGCCTAGCGCAGTTAAGAACTAATATCTTGTAAGTTGTAACATTTGATACCAAAAAAATTTTTTGGGGGGATTAGTGTCGTGAGAATATTTATTTGTGGATTAGAATAATGCTTTAGAAAAATACTTTATCATGTAGCTTATGATGAAAAAACTTTCATCACGGCAACTGCCACTGACCGCTTTAATAATTTTCATGACAGACTGAATCTAAATTCAAATCCACTTACTCAAGCTCTATCTAATAATAATAATAATAAATGCTTTATTATGACAAAAATGTGGGCTAAAGAGCCTCAGAGATACATAAACAAGAATATAGATTGATTAAATATTTTAAAAAAAATAAGAGAAATTAAAAATTACTTTCTAATTTACATCAGTTAATAATAAATAATAAAAAATTGAAAATAAACAGGAAGTAAAAATTATAAAGAACGGTCTAATAATTTATATACATATTTACAGTAGTAACTATTTACAATTTTATGAGGACTGGATGGATAAGAAATGATTAAACAGGTGGGATTTAAAGGTAGGAAGGGTTTTGGATTGACAGGTGTGGGTAGGGACGGAGTTCCATAGGGAAGACGATGGAATAATAAAAGATTTATCGAAAGCAGCGGTTCGGTGGGCCATTATATATAAATCTGAAGACCGGGAACGGGTATTGCGGGAGTGGACAGAGGATTTAAATTGAAGGAGCTCGACGATGTTTGAAAGACGGCGGGAGTGAATTACTTGGAAGAGGAAGGATGCCAGGAAATACTTACGGCGGTAGGAAGGATAAAAGCACTTCAACTCTTCATAGGAACAGGAAACAGGGGCGTCTCTTGGGATCCCGAAGATGAATCGTACAAAGCAATTTATCAAACGTTTTAGTTTCGCCTCGAGATCCCCAGGTGTCGCAGGCATTTTTTTATTTATTTAATAATTATTTTTATTTAATGTATTTTAGGGTGGAAAAGGAGATATTTGACACATGGTTTTTACAGGAAAGGGTTTGATCAAAGATTATTCCAAGGTTTTTGATGGTGGGAATAATTTAATGGAATTATCATGTAGGAACAGGGTTGGAAAGTTAGGAATAGTTTTGAGGAGGTGATTGGAGCCTATTAGGATTGCCTTCGTCTTTTCCACATTCAACTTCAGCTTGTTAGCTCCTGGCCTGAATATATTCTATTTAAATCTTCTTGAAGCTTACTATCTACTGCCACAAATCCATATAATCAGCCCAGAAGTCTGCTGAGGCGCTGGCCAAGAGACTTATTGAATTGAGCGACTTGCTGTATCATCTTTTTTTTGTGTGTTATTATGTATCATGTAGCAACTCAGCACAGATGAGCAGTCTCACAACTTTATTATACGCCTCTCTGGAATCATAATTTGTGCTTAGAGATTGATAAAAAATATTACAATTATCTTATTATATTACCTTACATTGGGAAGGATGTCCAAATGGGGAAAGAGTAAGAGGCAGCACTAAACTACGATGGACAAACGATATAGAGATACACCAAAGAATCATTCTAAATGGAGGGAAATAGTTGAGGAGGCCATAGCGGCGAAGAAAATAAATTTTATAAAATAGTAATCTTATAATTGCTTGATAAGTTCATCAAAAATTTTCAATTTTTTTCAGATAGCATGGAGGACGAGGAGGGGCCCAGAGATCCCGGCGCTGATCACCCCCACCTCCAGGGCTTCACTGAACACGACTTCCAAGGTAATAGAATACTTTTTACATTAGAATGTTATGAAATATATCATACTCTAGTAAACATGTTATATTTATTACAATAGAATGTTATGAAATATATCATACTCTAGTAGAAATGTTATGTTTATTACAATAGAATGTTATGAAATATATCATACTCTAATAAACATGTTATGTTTATTACAATAGAATGTAGTGAAATATATCATACTCTAGTAAACATGTTATATTTATTACAATAGAATGTTATGAAATATATCATACCATATAACATATTATAGGGAGTGGGGTAGCTCAATGGTAGGCACTGAGCTTCCAATGCAAAGGTTCCAGGTTCGAACCCCGGCTCATCGCAGAAAATTTATTTATCTGTTTCATTGGTCGTGGGGCGACACTGGGTCGGGAGACCCTCCTGGGGCACACCCGGCCTCTATAAAGAGGGTACCCTTAATTAAATAATTGATTAAGGGGGAAAACCTGGCGGTTGAACGTGATCTCGGTCAAATCATCTCCTTGCGCAACCGTTGACCTAGAAACAGTGCTTTTCCTAAATAGTTCTAAACCCCAGACCCTTCAGGGGTTGTAGTGGTAAAGGTTTTTTTATATATCATATTATAAATATATCATACTAGTAAATATATTTTTTGGATCATCAAATAGAATAATCTACTCTATGTAAAATATTGAAGTAGATACCTTAAAAGTAGATCCCTTTTTCGTCTCTTAGGAGTAGTGGTTCAGGGGTCTCCAAATTACGGCCCCATGCAACTCCAATCCGGTTCCTAAACGTTTTTTTAATTGCATGGATATATTTTAAAAATAAAAAAAATAGCAAATTACTCACACAGAAGATTACTGCAACATTTATTGCAGGGGTTTTATTTAATATTATTAAGCTAATTTCAAAACTGAAGTGTCATTTATAGAACAAGCTTTTTTTCTTTCTCATAAGCCATTGCCCGGTAGATGAGTGTAGGTTATTATTTTTATGGACATTCAACAGCTGAGGTCGTTGGTAACCTCATTCAAATTATATTTTTCGTATTATTTCTCTTTTTCTAATATATGTAATTGAACAAATTACTTATTTTAAGGAAACCGATTATTGCTTCAATATTGGTACTGTTGTCTCCTGATATGTTTTCGAGGTTTCGTTCTATTCCCACATTATTGAAAAATCTATCATGTCGCTTACAATTCAGCAAAATGTGGTAAATCGTCAACTGCACTTTACATACTTCACAAATCGGATGTCTAGACTTATAACTGAGGAATCCGTGACTCATTCGCGTGTGTCCTACTCTCAATCTAGTAATAACAACTTCTTCTTTTGTGTTCTATGCTGCTCCCACGTATTTTTAGCTTGACATTTCAAATAACTGCATATATCTGAAGTAGTGTGTATATGCGTGACCTCCAATGAGGATGCTGCTGCTTCTTTGGCTGCTCTATCTGCCTTTTCACTCCCCTTACTACCCACATGTGATGGAATCCAGAAGATCACTAAGTTCTTATTGAAGTCCCTGATCATCGACGAGTAAGCCTGAGCTTTCTTTATTACTGGGTCTTAGAGAATATGTTCGTATATGACTTCATAGGTGATAGAGAATCTGTATATATGACAAAATTATTTTCTTCCCACTGCAAGATGTGGTAGAGCGCTGCACTAATTGCGTAGTACTCTGCGGTAAAATTGCTAATTAAAGGTGAAAGCCTATATTAGATCGTACCGGTTTCAGCTATAATGGAACAGCCTACATTGTAATTTGATATGGAACCAACCAAAGTGCTGTTGCTGTATTCATCTTTAATTCTTGGATAGTGAGTTAGGCAAGTGAATTCTGAAGTACTGATTTTCTTTTATTTTCTTTATACAGGTTTAAGGTCCATGGTGGATAATTGAATTCAACAGTTGTTTTTTGCTAGTTGAGGAGTTCTTCGATGTATCTTCTTGTTCTGATCCCAAGCGGTGCAATCTTTAGTTTTCTGAAAATCTTCAACGTTTTGGTTGGAAAACTGCTTTCCATGCTGGATTATTATCATTAAATTTCAGTTTTGCGATATATCCACATGCAAGTTGGTGTCTTCTTACCGTTAGTGGAGCCAGGCTTGCTTCTACACATAAATTATTGACATCGCTAGTTCTGAAGTCACCTGTAGCAAGGCAATCTTTAAATACAACAATCTTTGATGAGCAACAATGTTAAGAGCTTGTACAGAATGAGGCAGTGGCCTAATTTTCAATCTATGTGGTATATTTATTTAATGCTCTTAGATAAAACATTTATTGAGTAATATGAATCATTTTATCATGCCAGAATATAGAATGATTATCTTCAGTAGTAGTACTAATATCACATTTTCATCCACCACAGAATTATTTATGTGTTTTATCACTACAGCAACATTTTATAAAATAATGTGCTTCATATTACTCAATAAATGTTTTATGGAAGAATGCATAGTTAATATATAATAAAAAATCTGGTACGCGCAACACACAACTTTCACTTACCGCTCTACTTTGATTAGAAATTATTTTCTGGCAATGTTGAGAGGTTGTAAAATTTTTGAAGGGCACTTTTAATGGAGCTATAGCTTAAATTTTACAGCTAACAAATCATAAACACCATTAAAATAACAAAAACCATTTTAATTATATCAACGGTCGACAATAAAAATCTCAGTACTCCATCTGTTTTTGTAAACCACATAACTCCAGTCTCTGAGCAATACTAGTATGCCTAGAGAGATTTTAAAGTAAATCTCTATGTTCAACCTATAAATGATTGTACTCCGATTAGTTATTACGCCGATTAGAACTGTTATGATTTTCATTGTCTCACATTAATTTTCAGTGGATAATGTTGTGATATCACAAAAGAAAAACTCAACAAATTAGTCTCTAATTTAATATTCTAAAAGATTACTTGAAGATTTTCGGAATAGACGGACGTTGATACCTAATTATATAAATATAATATCAGATCTAGATTTACTAAACTCTACAGTAAATGTATTTAAGGTTATAAACATATACTTTATACATCCATGAAATATTTTTACATTTCACTTCTTCTTTCACAGAAATACAATGAAATAGTACTTTAAACAATGTCATAGTCTTGATTCGGTGGATTTAAAATACTTTGTTTCAAACTTTTAGAAATTTATTTTATTTTTTTTTTAAATTTAGAACTTATTCCTTCCACTCCAACCGATGCCATTCAATCAACTTCCGTAGTAGTTTCAACTCGCCCTTTCCATCTCACATTCTCAGCTGTATACTGTCCTCCTGGTAATTCCCTCTCCTATAACCTCCTTGATTCCTTATTCAAATCCCTCGGATCGCGCTTCATTGCTGGAGGAGACTACAATGCTAAACACCAACGATGGGGTTGTCGAACATCCGACCCCCGTGGTAACATCCTATTACGTGTTTCATCTTCCAACAATTATTCAATCCTTTCGCCCATGAGTCCTACTTATTGGCCAACATCTCTCAAAAAACGTCCCGATATCCAAGATATATTTATAGCTTCTCAGATCTCCTCCTCACAAACCATAATCAAATCCCTTGATGACCTTTCTTCAGACCATAGTCTAGTCCTGCTTTCACTACATTCGAGCTATGCTCCTAAACCATCACCTCCTAAATTGATCACAGGACGAGTGAACTGGGACCAATTTCGTGATGATTTGGAAAACAAACTAGACTTAAAAATTCCGCTAAAGACAAAAGAGGACATTAATGGTGCCATTGAAAAACTGACAGCATCAATAACAGACAGTATAAATAATAACACTTTTATCAATAAGTTCAACAATTCACAAAAGACTGACTTGCCACAGCATATTCGTATCTTATTGAAGGAAAAACGCAGAGCAAGATCGAAGTGGCATAGAACCAGATATCCAACAGATAAAACTCACTATACCCAACTGACTAACAAACTAAAATCTGAAATTAGAAAATACAAAATTCAAAATTTACTAAACTTTACTGAAAAACTTACACCTACCGACAAATCACTATGGACGACCACTAAAAGGCTCCTGAAATTTAACGACTGTAATCATCCACTTCTTACTGAAGCTCAAACCTGGTCCAAATCCGATGAAGAAAAATCACAAATCTTTGCTCATCACCTCTTTAAAACCTTTAATCCACACCCTGATATTCTTAACCCAAATCACCTTGAATGTATTGAAGCAGAACTGGATATCCCACACCAAATGTCTCTTCCACCTAAAGCCTTTCATCCTTCAGAAATATTCGACATCATTCAAAGGTTACCTTCGCGAAAAGCCCCTGGACACGACCTAATTACATCCCAGATCCTAAAACTGCTTCCTCGGAAAGCCATCCTATTCCTTACGTATATATATAATGCTGTTCTGCGAACAACATACTTTCCTAACCCTTGGAAATTATCTATTATCAAAATGATACATAAACCCAAAAAACCAACCAGAAAACCTATCCTCTTATCGCCCTATCTCCCTTTTACCCATCCTAGGCAAAATCCTGGAAAAGCTCATCCTAAAACGCCTGCACCCCATCCTAGATTCTAATCACATTATCCCAGATCATCAATTTGGATTCCGCAGATCCCATTCCACTATTCAGCAATGCCATCGTGTGGTGGATGTTGTCTCCTCTGCATTGGAGCGCGGAATGTACTGCACGGGAGTCTTTCTCGATGTAGAACAGGCTTTTGATCGAGTCTGGCAGCCAGGACTGCTTTATAAACTCCGTAAATTCCTACACCCTACATACTTCCTCATTATCCGTTCCTATCTAACTGATAGATCCTTCAAAGTAAATCATAATAATGCCTATTCATCCCTTTTCCCCAGTCCGCTGGTGTTCCTCAAGGTAGTATCCTAGGTCCTATCCTTTACACAGTTTATACAGCTGATATCCCAACCCATCCTAACACTGTTATTACCACGTATGCCGATGATACATGTGTCCTATCAATTAATAACGACCCAACAATTGC